AGGGGTGAAGCTTTGATCGCAGGACTCTGGACCACAGGGCACCCTGGCACACAGGGGTGAAGCTTTGATCGCAGGACTCTGTACCACAGGGCACCCTGGCACACAGGGCTGACACTTGGCTACTAACTGAAGAATGCAAGCCTCCCAGCAGCCAAATGGGGAGAAAAACAAGGCAATTTGCTTCTGTAAAGATGTACAGCCTAGAAACCCTCTGGGCAGTTCTGTGTGGTCCTGTGGGGTCACCCGTGAGTCAGCAGGTCCTTCAGGGTCAGATCATACCCTGCTTCGGGTGTTCCCTTAAACTTGAAGGCCCTTTCCTCCCTTGGGACTATTCCAAGAGTCTGGGACCGTATTGACCCCTGCAGTGTCTCCCTCCCACTATCCGTTTTCTGACCCCACCGCCAGGAAGCTAGCTAGTAATGATGATAGCGTGCCCTCCCCGTGAGTGCCCCATGCTCCCCTCCCTGTGGCGGTGGAAGGTACTGTAGGTATACAAGGCCCCGTAGATACACGGGTGGAAACAGTGAAGAAGAGACGACTACATACAAACCACTAGCTACAAATCTAAGGATAGACGAGCGTGATAAGGGACATAGGGATGCAGTTTGGGCTCAGGTCTCTAACTGATTCATCAATTGTGGGAGGCTAAGCCCTGGGGATGGAGCAGTGACCAAGGAAACCTGAAATCTTGGAGGGATCACTTAGGCTGGCAAGGTACCCCATGAGCTCCAAGTGAGTGGCACCCTGTGTCCTTTCAGGGATGCCAGGTACCATGGACACCGTGGCAGAACCTCCTTGACTGGGCATGCTATACCAGCTTTGGGAGGCTCATCTTGTCCTCCGGGTTCCGCAGGTTGTGAAAAGCAGGGGTTGGGCCTGGATCAAGAACCCGGTTTCATTGATACGTGAATGACGTTGAATTCTTCTGCCTTCCTCTCTGAGTATCTTGGAACCAGAGTAACTGGCATATGATAAGGTACCAGCTCCGCACTCTCCCCATCTTCCTGGACACATAGACACCACCATACCCCCTTCTGCAAACTGGGACTGCTTCAGGTTCAGTAAACCTGGTATTCAACGGCAGGTTAGACAAACGTGATTTTTTTCTCAGCAATGGCAAAACTGAGACACAATAGATAGGCTAGCTTTTTGATTTTTTTACTTTTGATTGTGGTTGGGTTGAAAGTTTACAAAGCAGATTGGTTTTCTATTCACTAATTCTTCCATATTTTGTTGGGTGGTAGAGGCTGTGATTCCGCACAATGCAGCAGCACTTTTGTCTTTACACACACACACACATACACACACGTGTGCCATTTATTTCCATGTGTCCTTCCTGCTACACTAATCATTTCTTGTCAGGGCCGAAGCGTACCATTTGTCATACCACCAAAAAAAAGGCAAATTGTCTCCCCGTAAGTCACTCTTTCATCCCACCCTCCTTACCCCACCCCCACCTTGGCCCAGGCCATCAACATACTAGTAAAAGAATGACATTTGAGAAAGTTTTCGGGCAACAGGAACCATGTTTTATTTCCACGAAATAAACTCAAAAGTAGGAAGTCCATCCTAATCCGTTGTCACGGTGACCAGATTATCAACTGAAGGGAGCGGAGAAAGCAGCGGGTGGATCTGATGAGACCAGTGGTCCAGGGATACCACAATGGGGTGAAAGGAAACGAGGAACAGACCAACCAGGTCCCCAACCTAGAGGAAGGAGGTGTCGCCGCCAGGCTCAGGCTGGCACAGGGTGGGAGAGCTGGGGGGAGTGGGCGTCACAGTCAGGCCCTTTGGTAACTGGCGTTTTCTCAGGGACTCAGCAATGATGGGAAGGGATCTTCTAGGAAAAAAAAGAGATCACACGAGAGCACAGGGCCTGTGGGAACTCGGTGTCCTTTCCTTAAGCTTCTCTCGGGACACCCACATCCCTCGCTGCCCCGCTGCATTCCCCTGAGGCGCCCTCCACAAAGGCTCTTCCACGAAGGCTCTGCTTTTGCCCGGTCACTCCCTCTCTCCTCCGCACCAGAGATCTATCTGCCTCTCCAGGAGCCTGAACCGCTCCACCTACAAAGGCGCATTTCTTCGCAGCTCGCCCTCCTGTCATTTCCTTGTCCTTGACCGAAAGCCTCGCTCCTCAACGCACGCTGGACCACGCCGTCCGGCGCCACCCTCGCAGCTGTTCCTATGTGTGAGTCCATCGCTGCGGCCGCTGGGTCCATCCGCCGGGTCCAGGGCCTGCCTCTTTGCCGCTGCCCCTCTAACTGTACCACGCATGATGTCCTTCTCCAGGGACGGGCCTCTCCTGATAACCATGTCAAAGTATGGCAGCCCAAGTCCTACCATCCTTGCCTCCAAGGAGCATTCGGGCTGCACTTCTCCCAAGACAGATGTTTGTTCCTTCGGCAACGCTCCGCCTCCATGTGGCCCTTCCCCCGAGTGCCTTCCTACAGTGCTTCCTGGGCATCCTGGGTCATTTTCTCCCCAGTCTCCCTCCATGCTGGCCCCCCAATCCCACCCGCGTGCCTTCATACAGTGCTTCCTGGGCATCCTGGGTCATTTTCTCCCCAAGTCTCCCTCCATGCTGCCCCCCACCCCACCCCCATGATCTTTAGAGCATCTTCCCAGACCCAAGTCGGAGAGACTACCCAGACTCCATCCCTGCCCCTGAGCAGTGGCTCCGGGTCAGCCTCCCAGCCTTCTGCAGTTCACATAGACACGCACCTACCAAAACTTCATCCACTGCAGCAGGCCAGGTTGTGTCCGGGAAGCCTGTGGGGGCGAGGAGAAGTCTGAGTAGACGTCACCCTGCCCCCTCCACACCTCCGGCCGTGGACCCTTCTCTCGGGAGGGAGAGATTGCCAGCCCCCATACTCACCGAGGAAGTCAGTGTGGTCCCTCCCTAGAAACAGAAAAGTCAAGCCGGGGATGGACCTCGCTGTGCTTGGCCATGACCTCCCACCTCAGGTCAGAGGCAGGCTCCAAGCAGGAAGATCCCAAAGTTTCTTTCATCTGGATGGGGACACTCGGCCCCGGTCTGGTTCTTGTTTTCCCACAGCAGATTAATGTCCCTAAGGACACCTTACCCAAGGTGGCATCAGAGGTGGCCCCTGGGCACACACTGACCGAGAGGAATGGAAAGAGGGTGGGTGGGTGCCCCTTTTACTTGCCAGGGAACCCCAAACTGGCCCCAAGTGATTGACACTCTGGAGACCCACACCTTGTAGCAACTGCACCTTCCTCTACCTTCCGTCGGGGTGTTGTCCCTGATTTCCTGCTAGCAGGGTCCTTTCCCTGGAGCCCATGTCTCTTCTGAGACATGAAGGCTACAGCCAGCCCCAGTAGGGTTGAGCTTATCCATGCCCTGAGTGTAGAAGAGGGCTCTCTTTGCAATCGAATGAAGCAAAGATGTTCTTGAAACAATCCATATGTCCGGCGCGTGGTTTTCTTTGTGGAATGAAGCATGCGCTTCTCCCACGCACCACGTGTTCGGGGGCTAGCTTCCCAGCCCGCGCGTCTGCCCCCACCCCCTCGGGAAGTCAGCATTACAGATGAGGCAGAGGAAAAACACTCCTCCCCCCCAAAAAATCTGCTGGTTTGTCGTGACCTTTTTTTTAATTACATTTTTTTTAGAGCCTTCTGCTCCTCTTTGAGGGGAAGTAGCTTCGAGTGCTATCCACTGTGTGATGCGGCGCTGACCCCTTGGCACGTTTTCAGAGGGAGTGGGCGGGTGTGCCAAGTATTGAACCCTCTACCCCACTCCTTCCAACGGCTCTCTCTGGAATCGGGAGTCTCCACCACAAAGGATGGGGAGGCGGGACTTCTAAAGGGAGCAGCATGCCACTTCAGCTAGCCAACCGAGAGGTCGCTGCTAGGGAAAGCCTGCCATGCCTGTCCCCCAGCAGAGAACCCAGTGGTAAAACATAGCGGCTTCAAATCTTACCTTAGCCGGGGCCTTGCCACCATAGGCCGTTGGATAAGACTGCTGGTTATAGTTGTAGTTCTGCAGAAGAAAGCAGGGAGGGAGGTGTGAGAAGAGAGAGGGGGGCAGGCACTGCGTCTGGTGGACACACCCCACCTTCCTACCCTGGCTGGACCTGTCTTAAGGCCCCTGCTTTCTCCTCCTCAGAGGACATGTGTCTCCTTCTTTCCTTCCTTGCTTCCTTCTTCCTTTGCATCTCCTCTAGCCAGCCAGAGTCCACTCCCTGACCTATAAAGAGTGTTGGTCTTGGGAACCTACAGGCCCGGTCCCAGTCTGTCCTATGGGGTCACTATGAGTCGGCATCGACTCATGGCAGTGCCTTTGGGGTGTGTTGTTGTTGTAGTTGTTAAATATCCCTCCCTCCACCTGCTCTTGGCACCTCCCCACAAGTGGTACTTGAGATATTTTTGAGACCAAGAGACGAACGTCTAAGTCAGGTGGCCCCACGCACTACGGTCAAGTCAGGTCCGACTCAAAGCCATCCTGCCAGTGCATTCAAACTACCGACCTCGGCAAGGAGCAGGCCAGTGCTTAGCTACAGCGCCACCAGCCCTCCTGAGTCAGGTGGGCCGAGCGATACACATAACCCACCTCAGAAGTTACAACTGCCGCCTCTTGCCTTCCTGGGCCAGACTGAGAAAACGGAACCAGGGGAGTGAAGGAGAGAGAGCAAGCGCCTTACCGGGTCAGCACCAACTGCCCTCTTCTGCATGGACCGCGGCTGTGCACCCTGAGGAGGGGAAAGAAGCAGTTAGTTCGGCACCACCCCTTAGTCTTCGGGGGCTCCAGCACCTCCGGAATAGCAGCATCCCACCCACCCCACCCTTCTCCGAGGTCCATGCCAACTGCTTCTTACAGGGAGGGCGGTGAGCCTGAAAAAAAATCAATGACCCAGATATATGTAGGACACACATTTCCACACTTAGGGCGGGGGAGCCAGGGTAGAGAACCAGGTTTGACAAGCCCGCCTTCGCTCAGGCACCTGAACCATTAGCAGCAGCGTTGAATTAAAGCAACCAAGGAGTGGAATCCCCGCGGATCCCACACCTTTCCCGACACAGAGCCTGTAGGCTCGCTAATCCTCAAGCAGCTGCAGCCCCTAAAGGCTAGTCCACACTCTTCTCTCCCTGCCCCACCACCTCCAGAGAAGGCAGGGAGGGAAGTAGGAGCGGTAGGTGCCAGAAGTTTTGATCCTGCCATTAGCACATTTCTACTGGGGAGAGAGAGAAAGAGATAGAGAGAGAGCCCACCCCCCCTCTTCTGTGAGGTTCTCCTCCCCTTATCCACGCCCACCACCACCCCCCCACCCGCATTACCCACCTGCTTCCCTCCAGCCACACCAAGCCCAGTAGGAATCAGGAATAACCACAGAGCAGAGACAGTAGCCTGAGGCAGGTCCAGCCCCCAGGCCCTCCACCTTTATCACGGATTCCTTCCTCAAGACTCAGCCCTGTCTTCTCTCTCCCCACCCGCCCTCACTCACAGTTGCCTCAAAATAAGAAACTGGGAAAGGAAGGAGGCCCCAGAGCAGGGAGGGTGAGAAGCCAAGACAGAATCAGCACCCCGCTTGCCAAGGGCCCATCATCCCGTGTCCCCACGGAAGTGAGGTCTGAGCCAGGTGGTCAGGTGAGCTTCTTCCTCCCTTACCTCGATAATCTCCTTCCAGTTCAAAAAAGGAGTGTTGCGTTTGAAATCCTAGAGGGAGGAGGAGAGATCGGTGACCCACAAGGGAAGAGAATTCAGAGGGTGGTAAGGGACAGGTATGTGGCAAGGGACAGGTAATTTTCCATCACAATGAAGCGTAGGAATGAGACTTAGAACTTAGGTGTGTGTGGTTTCGGGTTAGAGGGAGATAAGCATACCTAAGATGAGGGTGTTGGAGTTTGAGATGGTATTGGTGATAGGGTTTGGGCAAGGTGACCCGGTCTCAGAAATGAAAAGAGAATGAATGTGTGGACAGGTAGGCTGGGACCAAGGGTGACTCCCTCAAGGGGAGGGGTGGGCAGGGTGGAAAGAGACAAGGTGAGCAGAATTCCAAATTCTTCAAAAAGGTGCACACCTCCCAGAGACGGCTGAAGTAGAGGAGAGCTCGGGTGCTGGGGACTGGGAGTTGGCCCTGTGGGTGAAAGGCAACAAGCGGATTATTAAGGGGTCCAACTTTCTGTGCATCTAGACCCTCTGCCCCGACTCCAGTTCTCAGGTCTCAGAATTTCCTTGTCACTAAGGTTCGGAGAAGCTGGTTTTCTGAAGAGATAACCAGAAACTGCTTGTGGCCACAGAGAGAGGCTGCATCTTTGGAGCCATTAGCCCCTGGCCCTGACACATACACAGGGCCTTCTGCCCCCCGATTCCCCTACTCTTGGCAAAACATCATTTCCACAAACACCTAGGACCACAATTTGTCCCCAGACCTTCGCAGCTTCTCACCTGCCCTGCCACTTCCAGCCTATTCCCAAAGCTTTGGGGCTGCAGCCACCTCTTCCCCAGGCCGACTGACCTGCATTCCACGTGAAATTCCTTGCCAACAATTAAAAATCCGATTTCCAGCTTTCATGGAAAAACCAGATGTCATGCCACACTTGTCTGACATGCATGCCTGACAACACTCAGCCGGAGAGCCTGGACCTCCCCCAGGGACATGGCCTGTCCCACCTGTCCAGCCTCAGACCCCACCCCACCCCACAGCAGTGGAGACATAAGAAAGGTGCAGAGGCTCTGAGCATGGGATCATTATGGTTTATTTCCTTTAGGGGAATCGTGGACCAAAGCAAGGGTAGAAAAGATTTCTTCTTCAGAAATCTGCAAGGACCCCCTGTTGCCATCTGGTCAAATCCAGATGCCCCAGCTCAGACAAGAGAGCCCTCCAACCTCGCCAGCAATTTTATTTCTCGTCTCCCTCGCCTGACTCCCCACCAAGGTTATAGTCTTCAGCACGCATGTGCGCACACACACATCTCGTAAAGGAGAACGGGGTTCTCCACTTTCTTATGTGGCCTATTAGCGTCACCTGACTCCTTGGCCAGTGTGTCCCCCACCCAACGACTCTGCTGCCCCTCTGGCCTCCTGGGGGTGAGGCCTCCTCGCTCTCTCCCTTCCAGGGGCCAAAAGGAGAGAGCCAAGGCTCACAATGTTGCTCAGTTCTAAGTATCAAGACGTTCTTGGGGCCCCTCTGCTCCTCTAACCCCAGCTGTGTCAAATCCCCCCCTCTCTTTCAAGGTCTCTGCTATCCTTCCCCAAGTTGTAGTTGTTCGTTTGTTGGTGTTTTGCTTGTTTGTTTTTAGCATCCGTCTAAATGCTTTCTTAATAGTCATCATTCTTGTGTCCCGGCTCAGCGAGTTGAGGTTTTGCTTTCTTGTCTCTATGCCTCTCTCACAAAGATTGGGGTGGCACGCCCCGCCCCACTGCCCTTACCTTGTTTATGGCATCCCAGTTAATAAAGCCCAGCTTGGATTTAAAATTCTGCAGAGAAAGAAAGAAGACGGAGCATAACCAAATCGGATCGGATTGGACGTAGCTCTGGACTTCAGGATCAGAGAGCTGTGACCATTGTTACTGAAAGGTGACTTCAGACTGGGGGGGGGGGGAAGCCATGGGGCAGGGTTGGTCTTCCAAAAGGGAGAACTCACCTGCCAGAGATTGTCAAACTGGAAGAGGTTTTCGGATGCCTGGGAGTTCTGAGGAACCAGATGGAAAATGAGATAAGTGTGAGGACCCACTGTGTGAGGAAGAGGCAGGGGCCCGAGACTCGGCACCAGCAGGAAAGGCAAGGATTGTTGGACACTGTGGGCCCAGCCCAGGGGCGTCTGATGTGTCCACTCACCAACAAGTGGCTTCCTCTGAAGGCTTCACCTCCTGCATTCTCCCTGCTGTAGCCTTGCCCCTGGGTGAGGGAAAAGGGAATGATGTCCAAGGCTGATACAGCCTGGCCCTCAGGCCACCTATCCATTTGCACCTGGCCCACACCTCTTCATGGTACTTAAGCTCTGCGAACTCACTCACGTCTGTAAATCCACCTTCTCTGTCTCTCAGTCGCACCTGAAAACCCCACTGCCAGAAAGCAATCCTGGAGTGACTTGCTCACTGACACCCCTTAACCAATCCCCTTAATTCTATTCTGCTGCCTCTTGTTTCCAGCCGCCCCCCCCCCCCAAGCATCACTAGTCATGAGAGTAGCTAATGTGTTTAGACCCATCATGCACTGGACCCCATGCCCCCTCCTGGGACATTCCTATGCCAGGGAGCACTCCGCTTGACAGATGAGCAAACTAACATTTAAAGTCATCCAACAGCCGACCTAGGACCGGTCTCCATGTCTGGTGCTAATGCCTGCACTCTGGACCACCTTGATCGCAATAGTGCAGAAAGGTCTATCGGAAGTATGAGATGTGAACAACGGACAGGTCACCAACCCTGTATGGCTGTACCTCCGAGGACACGTAGGCTCGGTAAGGTCAGCTGGTGTGCCTGAAGACACACAGGTAACAAGTGACCGTGACCGAGCTGGAGTTTGAGCCCCATCTTTGAACTCAAAGTTCAGTGATGCTCCCCTTTGTGACCCTGCCTTCTTAGGTGCGATGGTTTGGGGTTTTGTTTTTCATTTTTAAAATAACCCTTTGGCCAGTCTCCCGTTGTTTGTGTCTGCTCTCGCGCTCACAGAGGTATACACTTCAATGAATTGAGCTACGTGGATGGAGCTCTTGGACCCCCAATCTCCTCTCTCTCTCTTTTTTTTAAAATCAGAGATGTTATTTGTTTAGACTAATTGGGACTGTCTTTCTTTTCTTAGAAATCATTTTCTTGGGGGCTCTGACAGCTCTTCTCACGGTCCATACATCAGTTGCATCAAGCACAGTTGTATGTAGGCCCCATCATCACTTCCAGCTGGTCTCTTCATGAGGAAGACCCAGGTTCCAAGCAGCTCACAAGCGTAAACGGACACTTCTTCCCCCCCAACTTCCATTCTCCCTCCCACAGCCAACCCTGCCCGCCCCCAGGTTCACCTGGTAGTTGCCTGGATAGCCGCCCAGAACATGACTGTCTCCATGGCTTAGTTCCTGTGGAGAAGAGGCAGGCAGGTTAGAGGTGGCCACGGCAGGGTTTAGGGGACGGATCCCTGAATCAAGGGACAGAGGCTTGAACATGGCAGAGGACGTCGCAGGACCCTGTGAAAGATAGCCCCTCTATCTAGATGGCTCCACCTTCCTTGGCAATCTTGCTTCCACCTTCTGTGACTTGGGTTATTGCTCATGAATGTTCCTGGATTACATCACCCACTTGGCATCTGTTCATTCCTGCACACTGCCTGAAATCCAGAAGGGAGGGCCTTGGCCACCAACGCCAGCGTGAGCCCGGGTTGTTGTGCTGAGTGCACTCAAATGGAAGGGCCTGTTTGGGCTCATACTTTGGGCCAGAAAGGTGTTGCCAATGGCTCATGGCTGAAGGTGCTGAGACCCGTGGCGAGTGAAGTCTCCTACATTAGAGATAGGCTCCTCGGGTTCAGCTCACAATCTGAGGTGGGAAGCAGACCCATCCATGCCTCTTCCTTCTCAGGCCAAGATGCAGGGTGCTCGGTTCCTGGCGCCCTCTATTAGTGCGGCTGCTCAGGGAAAGATTGACTCTCATCGCCACCACCCACCCACCCACCTCTCCGCCGCCAACAGTGTACTCTTACAGTCTACCAAATTCTTACCCGGATGCCGGAGCTGCTGGCGCCTCCCTGCCCTCGAAATCCCTAGAGGACAAGACAGTGAGACACAGATGGTCATGCTAGTCCTGCAGGCATCCCACCAAGGAATGTGTTGAGTTAAGACAATTCCTGGAAAAACTCTAAGGACATTCTCTTTTGGAACTTGTCGAAATAACTCTGAGCTTCACTTGGAAGGATAAATATCTAAGCACAAGAGACTGCGGGGAAAGATAACCAGCAGGTGAGACGTATCCTGGCAAGCATGAGAGTACTGTAACACTACCATAAGTAAAACAGTGTGGCACCTCTCCCAGAACAGAGGAAGCCACTTAACGAGAGACAGTTCCCACAAGCTCTCCGTGAGTGTTTTACAAGTGGTGTGTTTAACCAGTGGTGAAAGTGACTCAACGCACGAAACTGGAAATGTTAGTTTGGTACTTGCAGGAGCGACAGGGCTTTCCTCAAACAGGCCCTGCCTTCTGTTGGGATCTGGTTTTGCCTGAGATCCCCACCCCACCCCCGAGTTGTGCGCACGGCTCTGACCCACAGTGGAGTAAGTAAGTCTGGTTGAACTGAGGAGTGGACTAGACAGGACACAGAAACATAAATGCCAGGTGGATTCCCAAGTTAGATTGACACGATGAAACTGTAGGCGCGTAAGCGATGCTCAAAGTGAACGAAGGTAATTTATGAATGAGCCCGGAGCAGGAACCAGCAGGGGAAGGAGGGGCAGGTGGAAAGACTGACAAAGTTGAGTCCCTGCAAATGAAAGACTTGGATCGATCCAACACGGGAAGTCCCCAGACAAACTGGGCGACATTTCCTCAAAGCCCATGGACCCATAAAAGGCTCCTTCATATAGGGGCCTCTTAGCCTTCTCAACCGAGCCTGCCACTCGCAGCTCAATTCTCCCCCTCTGGCTCGGACTCCCCCC